ACTCGAAGCAAGTTCTTGATTCTTTATGTAGAAATCAAGAAGTATAAATAACAGGCTGTTTAGTGAATAGAGTTAAGAGTAATCTCTGTAATACTCTTGTGGTTTAGCTTTTACAGATTATAATGAAGTCCTAAACTTAATCAGCAAGTTCAAGTGATTATGCATAGCAACTTAGTTGACAAGCTTTTTAGTTTTAAGCTGTAAGAAGACTACAACATCTAGAAGCTTCCTCTGAAAAACGACATCGTTTTACCTTCTTACACTGTTAACACATTTCTAAGGCTTAAGCTACTTAACCTCTGATGGTTGGACCAATTGTTGAAGCTGATGAACCACATGAGACATTCTAGGCCGCATCGATGGAACATTTTGAGTACAAGAATAAACCAAGTCCACAACTTTCTGAACCACACTCGACTCCGGTAAACCACTTGTTATGACCGGATCGAGAATCTCTAGCCACCGGTTTGTTTGAACCAACGGTGTAGCCCATTCGAATATGCTCTGCCAACCAACCGAGGAATTAACAGCTTGAGTCGGTCTACGACCGCTCACAATCTCTAGCAAAAGGACTCCGAAGCTGTAGACATCGCTTTTGGTGGTGAGCTCATTTCTGTACACGTATTCGGGTGCGAGGTAACCGTAGGTTCCACCTGCCATTACGGTTCTCTCTTGCATTACTTCCCATGGGACGAACTTTGAGAGACCAACACCCATTAGATGAGCTCCAAACTCCTCGTCGAGAAGCACGTTGCTCGCTCGGATGTCGCGGTGCACTACTTGCGGTTTGACCTTGTCGTGGAGAAACCTGTTTAGACAGAAGTTTCGGTTAAGATTTCAACATAACCAACTAAGCAACTATAGGTATAGACCCACTTCTGTAAATAGTACCGATGGACATATAAACCGAACGGAACCAAATCTGCGCCGAAATTCAGAAATCCAAATATTTAAGCCAAACCAGAACCAAAATTTAGTTTCTTAATTTCTCACCAAAGAAACCAAACCAACATGAATAACCGAAGAACCGAAAGCCATAGTATAAGA